TTCATTGCCACAATTATTCAACCCCTTAAAGACTACCACTCTGAAGAACAGAGGTTCATACAGGTGCTTTCCATCAGGTATTGAAAACACCTGTGGATGTCACCGAGCAGCAATCAAGCATAATAAGCACCAATTAGGCAGCTTTAAAATGACTGTGATACTCAGCTCCTTCTAGACATTTACTGGTGTGGTTACAAACATGGTGAAGGCAAGAGAATGGTCCAGGAAGACAAGAGAAGAGGTGATTTCTCTTCACAGGAAGGGCAATGGCTATAAGAAGATTGCAAAGATGTTAAACATACCAAGAGACACCTTAGGAAGCATCATTCGCAAATTCAAGGCAAAGGGCACTGTTGAAACGCTACCTGGTCGTGGCAGAAAGAAGATGCTGACTTCGACTGCTGTGCGCTACCTGAAGCGTAGAGTGGAGAGAAGTCCCCGTGTGACTGCTGAGGAACTGAGAAAAGATTTGTCAGATGTGGGTACAGAAGTTTCAGCCCAGACAATAAGACGCACACTGCGTAATGAAGGCCTCCGTGCCAGAACTCCCAGGCGTACCCCCTTGCTGTCTCCAAAGAATAAGAAGAGTCGACTGCAGTATGCCAAAAGCCATGTGGACAAACCACAAAAGTTGTGGGATAGTGTTCTGTGGACTGATGAAACAAAATTAGAACTGTTTGGGCCCATGGATCAACGCTATGTTTGGAGGAGGAAGAACAAGGCCTATGATGAAAAGAACACCTTGCCTACTGTGAAGCATGGTGGAGGGTCAATCATGCTTTGGGGCTGTTTTGCTTCTGCAGGTACAGGGAAGCTTCAGCGTGTGCAAGGTACCATGAATTCTCTTCAGTACCAGGAGATATTGGATGGAAACGTGATGCAGTCCGTCACACACCTGAGGCTTGGGAGACGTTGGACCTTTCAACAGGACAATGATCCCAAGCATACCTCCAAGTCCACTAGAGCATGGTTGCAGAGGAAAGGCTGGAACATTTTGGAGTGGCCATCGCAGTCACCAGACTTAAATCCGATTGAGAACCTCTGGTGGGACTTAAAGAAAGCAGTTGCAGTGCGCAAGCCTAAGAATGTGACTGAACTGGAGGCCTTTGCCCATGAAGAATGGGCGAAGATACCCGTAGATCGCTGCAAGACACTTGTGTCAAGCTATGCTTCACGTTTAAAAGCTGTTATAACTGTAAAAGGATGCTGTACTAAGTACTAAGATTGAATGTCACTTGGGGGTTGAATAAAACTGATAATGCTGTGAGCACAGAAAAGACATTTGTGGTTATTTCATTATAACTGTTATGTTATATTTGTCTGACCTACAAGTGCCTCTTTAATGTAAATGTAAGCAAGATGACTGAATGATCAAAAGCAATGTCAAACTGGCCAAAACACTCAATTTCAGTGGGGGTTGAATAATTTTGGTCACAACTGTATATATATATATATATACAGTTGTGTTCAAAATAATAGCAGTCAGACATCACTAACCTGATCAATCACTGTTTTTGGTAGAAATTATATTTCTACATGGCAAATAATTTACTAGCAGGTGTAGTAGAGTAATAGAAATCCAACAGACCCAACAGTCATGACATGCATGCTGCTGATTCTGTGTAATTGAATCACTAATTGAAAGGGGCATATTCAAAATAATAGCAGTGTGGAGTTCTATTAGTGAGGTCATTCATTCTTTGAAAAACAGGTGGCAATTATTGCCCTTATTTAAGGAAGGAAGGCAGCAAATGTTGTACATGCTGTTTACAGTGCATTTCTTTCTGAAATTATGAGGAAAATGGGTCTTTCCAGACATTGTTCAGAAGAACAGTATACCTTGCTTAAAAAGTTGATTGGAGAGGGGAAAACATATAAAGAAGTGCAGAAAATGATAGGCTGCTCAGCTAAAATGATCGCAAATGCTTTAAAATGGCAACCAAAACCTGAAAGACGTGGAAGAAAGTGAAAAACTACCATTCGAATGGATAGAAGAATAGCCAAAATGGCAAGGACTCAGCCAACAATCAGCTCCAGGAAGATCAAAAAAGGTCTAAAGTTACCTGTGAGTACTGTTACAATTAGAAGACGCCTATGTGAAGCCAAGCTATCTGCAAGAAGACCCCACAAAGTCCCACTGTTGAAAAAAAGACATGTGCTGAAGAGGTTACAATCTGCCAAAGAGCACATTGACTGGCCTAAAGAGAAATGGCGCAACATTTTGGGAACTGATGAAAGTAAGATTGTTCTTTTTGGGTCTAGTGGCCGGAGACAGTTTGTGAGACAACCCCCAAACACTGAATTCAAGCCACAGTACACTGTGAAGACAGTGAAGCATGGTTGCGCAAGCATCATGATATGGGAATGTTTCTCATACTACGGTGTTGGGCCCTATTTATCGCATACCAGGGATCATGGATCAGATTGAATACATCAGAATACTTGAAGAGGTCATGCTGCCTTATGCAGAAGAGGAAATGCCCTTGAAATGGGTGTTCCAACAAGACAACGACCCCAAACACACCAGTAAACATGCAACATCTTGGTTCCAGACCAACAAGATTGACGTCATGGAGTGGCCAGCCCAATCCCCGGATCTTAATCCAATAGAAAACTTGTGGGGTGACATCAAAAATGCAGTTTCTGAGGCAAAACCAAGAAATAGAGAAGAACTGTGGAATGTAGTCTAATGATCCTGGGCTGGAATACTTGTTCACAGGTGCCAGAAGTTGGTTGACTCCATGCAACACAGATGTACAGCGGTTCTCAGAAACAGTGCTTATACAACTAAATATTAATTAAGTGATTCAAAGGAAAGCAAAATCTTCAAACATTTTTCAGTTTATATAGTGAATGTTTGAGTTTGTAAAGAAGAATACAAAACACTGCAAATTTTTTGAACAGTCTAATATTCACTTTTCTTCAATTTTTTTAGAGGAACAACACAACTTTGATATATTTTTTCTTCATGTTTTGATTTGGAATAGAATGTGTAGTGTTCCCAATGCATTTGTGTGTATGGAAATAAAAGCTATTAAAAGGATTTTGAGCTTTATTCACTTTTTTCAACACACTGCTATTATTTTGAACATAACTGTATATATATATATATATATATAAAATCTATTCCTACCAACCACCCTTCTACTCAGTACTGCCTGTACTCCCCCCTTAGTACTATTTAAGCTGCTTAGCTCACCCTGTACAAGCATATACTTCCTTCACTCCCACAATATTTTTTTTCTCCCCTCTCCTTCCCTTCTTATTTCGCAGAGAAGACCCCATGCTCCCCCTAATAACTGAACTATCTATACATCTCCTAAGACTTTCTGTGTGAAACTTTATACCCATCACTACCTCTCTTGTGCCAATTACATCTTCTGTTTGTTTGTTATCTGTACCTGTGGTAGGGCTCAGTAACAATAGTGCGCATTTTTCTTTTTTTTATCAGACTTAAAAACACAATGAAATTGACACGATTGTAACTGACACTGATACTCATTTACTTTTCTTTTTTAATCCTATGCAAAATATACTGACTTTGACCTTTGATACTGATCTTTGACTCTTGCCTTGACCCTGACACTGACCTAGATCAAGCCTTAATCTAGCTATTTTGAGGTTTTGAATGTTTCATTCAATTTGGTATATGTTTATTTTCCTTACGGAATGCAGGTTCTTGCTCTTGTTAATGCACTCACATCTAGACACAGCATTTAGATGTGTACAATTCTTCTAATGGCTGTGTGCATGTACATGCATTTACATAGATTAAAATGCATCATATCTGCAGATATGTACAGCCCTGGAAGCAGCTGAGTCCTACTTTTCTTATTTTTTTACACCGCTAAACACAGCAGACATTTTTGTTTGTAGACACAGCTGTGTGTATTGGACCATTGGTTCCTTTAGTGTTGGTTTAGATGCATCCAAAACTATACATTGTATTAATCTAAACGTGACATTTTAGATGCATGTGTGAACGAGCCCTTATACCAAAGCTAATGTCAGAAGTGGTGCCGCGCTCCACTACCAATTGCAAAAATGTGAATGAATAAATATTAAATAAATAACAGTCCAGCTTCGAAAGAGTGCATAACGATATCTCTGCAATTATATTACTGCTGCAAACATGTCCGTATTAAATCCGTGACCTTGACACGTCTTCCAGTGCTGTGATAAAAACATAATAACTGTAAAGTTCACCAATCATAAAAAATGTTATACACCTTGACCGGTTGTGCTTTCACCTGGTGTATATGACCAGACCATTATGTGAGGTCATAAAATGCTTGTGTCCCTTTAATGGGGCTAAGTGGTAAATGGATGGGATGATCCCTCTTTCCCTGGAATGGATGGATGGACAGAGTGTTCCCTCTTTCCAGCAGGGGGTCTCCTCGCTTCCTTATGGATTTTCCTGGTGCCTGATAGATGAACGGGAATATCCCTCTTCCCACTAGGGGGTCTCCTTGCTTCCTTAGGGATTTTTCCCCATAGGTATAATGGCCAAAAAAAATATAGTGCCTTATCCCCTTTAAAACATAATTTATTAAATATAGTAGCACACTTACAAGTATTACAAGTTAAAACCGCATTGAAATGTTGAAATTTGAATCCACAGTAAAGTTTTCCAATATTGTTAAATACTTGCTGTATGTTGCTTTAAGCTTGGTGACGTCAGAGCCCTCCCCTACGCGTTACGCCAATGGGTTACATAGCTTTATCAGGGGGAATTGCAATTTCAGTATCCTTATGCCAAAGCTAATGTGAAGAAGACCTTATCTTCAGCTGTTTATGAGCTCATTAAATGAGGTGTGTATACGCAAAGGGGGGGGGGGCAGCAGAGATTGAGATCCATGCAATGATGGGAATAAATATGGTTGTAGCAAGAAGATGGTTATGTATCTCCATAGACTGTTTTTTTTTTTAACAAAGAATGAACATATGGCTAAGTTTCATTATTTACAATATAAATATAGCTAAACTTAACCTTGTTTCAGGTACCAAGGAGACGGCATTCATCTCGGCAGTGACAGCAGCAGGTCTGGTGCATTCTGTGACCCGGTCGTGCAGTGCTGGCAATATGACAGAATGCTCGTGTGACACAAGTCTTCAGAACGGTGGCTCAGCCAGTGAAGGCTGGCACTGGGGAGGATGCTCAGATGATCTTCAGTATGGAATGTGGTTCAGCAGGAAATTCCTGGATGCCCCTTATAAAAACTCTTCTGAGTCTGATATACTTAGTGCAATGCACCTACATAATAATGAAGCTGGGAGACTGGTATGTATTACTGTCTATCTACAGTAAATACATCACAGGATAGGACATGATAAAGAAAGCAAAGCTTTAGTACACAAGATGAGAAAATTACACTGATCGTTTGATTTTCCATGAAAGTTCATATCATGATGTAGTCAGAATGGTAATGACTTGTAAGAAAATCCTTGCCGGACAAAAGCAAACATAGCTATGTCCTAGCATAGTAGCAGAGGAACTGTAGGGTTGTTTTATGCTTCTAATCATGAGCATTTTTTTCTATTTGATTATTTCCAAATAGTTACTGTACATATTAAACGAAAATCGGACGCTGTGTTCACGTGACAATAAAATTATTCTAGCTTGCACCCTCGCTTTTTGTCACTCAAAAAGTCAGAATCTGCTGTCGAAAGCACTATACTAATGATCAGATAATCAGCCGATCGTTCGTTATTGTGTGTACTGGCCTTATGAAAGTACATATTGTGCTTTAAATTTTCTTGTAAAACTGGAAAATGTAAATTTTCCTTCTTTTTGTCAGGCTTGAAAGTTCAGTCCTATCCATTCCTAAAGAATGAGATTAAAAAAAAAAAAAGGGCAAGGTGAAATTAAAGTACAGTACTGTGTATGAATAACAATTTTTTGGTTTGTTTGTGCCAACTATAAACCTTGACTGACTAAATTACCCACACCCAACTTTTCCAAGTTGCACAACTGTTAAAGGGCCCTATATATATTCAAATATCCAACTTAAAGTAGAACTAAAGACACACCTTTATTTCTTGGATAGAGTTGGGGAGGGTTATGACTGGGAAAAACGACCGAAACGAGAGGAAATCCCTCCAAAGTGAGGGGATCCCTGGTTGTCACCAGAACAAGTGTGAACATTGAAAGATTTTCCCTCCATTATTTTACTTTCACTTTTGCTAATCACAGTAAACAGGAAAAATGGAGAGGAGGAATCTTCCAAATAGGGAAACAGATGGCAATAAAACCTGACAGGTGATTTATTTCCTCTCCACTCTATCCAAAACTAAAAAAAAGGTTTTGTCTTTAGATATACCGTACTTAATAATAATTTTCTTTCAATGTTTTTGGATAGGGTAGAAAAGGGTGAAAACTGTTTTTGGTTTATTTTATGCTGACTGTATCATATTTAAGGAGATTTCCCTTCACTTCCTATCCTGGATCTGCAACAGGACATTAGAGGAAATTTCTACAAAGAGATGGGAATTTCTCTCTAAGACAGTAGTTGCCGGAAAATGTGTTCCCATTGGAAGATTTACTCTCACCTCCTGTTTTATAATAAAGAGAGTGAAATGACCTAACCAGATAAATAAACCTGGCATAGACTCCACTCCACAGTCTATCCTGATGCCACCACACTTCTGGTGGTACCAATCTTTCAACACAAACAGATATCTGAGCCACCAACAGATATGCAGCCCACTTTGTATTTGCCTATACAGTTGCAAGAAAAAGTATGTGAACCCCTTGGGATTACGTGGAGTTTTGCATGAATTGGGCATAAAATGTGCTCTGAACGTCATCTAAGTCACAACAATAGAAGAACACAGTCTGCTGAACATAATACTACACAAACATTAGATGTTGCCATGGTTTAATTGTACATAACATGTAAACATTCACAGTGCAGGGAGGAAAAAGTATGTGAGGCCCTAGCTTAATGACTTCTCCCAGAGCTAATTGGAGCCAGGAGTGAGCCAACCTTGACTCCAATCAGTGTGATGATATTGGATGTGTTGCTGACAGCTGTCCTGCCCTTAAAAAACACACACCTGTTTTGGGTTTACTGGTTTCAAGAAGCACTGTCTGATGTGAACCATGCCTCGCAGAAAAGAGCTCTCAGAAGACCTACGATCAAGAATTGTTGACTTGCATGAAGCTGGAAAGGGTTACAAAAGTATCTCCAAAAGCCTTGATGTTCTTGTGTCCACGGTAAGACAGACTGTCTACAAATGGAGAAAGTTTAGCACTGTTGCTACTCTCCCTAGGCGTGGTCGTCCTGTAAAAATTACTGCAAGAGCACAGCGCAGAATGCTGCATGAGGTAAAGAAGAATCCTAGAGTGTCAGCTAAAGACCTACAGAAATCTCTGGCACATGCTAACATTTTTGTTGACACAGCTACAATAAGGAAAACATTAAACAAGAATGGAGTACATGGGAGGACACCACGGAGGAAGCCATTGCTGTCCAAAAAGAATATTGCAGCACGTTTGAAGTTTGCAAAAGAGCACCTGGATGTTCCACAGCACTACTGGCAAAATATACTGTGGACAGATGAAACCAAGATTGAGTTGTTTGGGAAGAACACACAACACTATGTGTGGAGAAAAAAAGGCACAGCACACACCAATATCAAAACCTCATCCCCACTGTAAAACATGGCGGAGGGAGCATCATGGTTTGGGGCTGCTTTGCTGCCTTAGGGCCTGGACGGATTGTTGTCATTGATGGGAAAATAAATTCCAGAGTTTATCAAGACATTTTGCAGGAAAACGTACGACCATCTGTCCGCTAACTGAAGCTCCGCAGAGAATGGGTGATGCAAGGACAATGACCCAAAGCATACAAGTAATTCAACAAAACAATGGCTGCAACAGCACAGAATACACCTTCTGGAGTGGCCCAGTCAGAGGCCTGACCTCAACCCGATTGAAATGCTGTGGCATGACCTTAAGAGAGCGATTCACACCAGACATCCCAAGAATATTGCTACATTGAAACAGTTTTGTGAAGAGGAGTGGTCCAATATTACTCCAGATTGTTGTGCAGGTCTGATCTGCAACTACAGGAAACGTTTGGTTGAGGTTATTGCTGCCAAAAGAGGGTCAACCAGTTATTAAGTCCAAAGGTTCACATACTTTTTCCTCCCTGCACTGTGAATGTTTACATGTTATGTGCAATTAAACCATGGCAACATCTAATGTTTGTGTAGTATTATGTTCAGCAGACTGTGTTCTTCTATTGTTGTGACTTAGATGACGTTCAGAGCACATTTTATGCCCAATTCATGCAAAAATCCACGTTATCCCAAGGGGTTCACCTACTTTTTCTTGCAACTGTATAAGCACTATCACTTTCATGATTTTGAATTAAGTTTAGTTTCTAATTTTGTCATTTTCATTTGGTAGTACTGGACTGCTCCCAGAAATAGCATTTTTACAGGTTATAATGTGGTGTGGACTCTAACCCAGGTTTTTTAATTTGGCTAGGTTGGATAGGCCAGTTTAATATGTACCGGCGACTCTTCTCATTTTCTATTACTATTTTTGTATGGTATGGGACTTTGAGGACTTGCAGGTTTAATATTGTGAAATGACCCAGCAGGGACACAAATACCACAGAAAACTTACAGGGGTCTTATTCCTTTCCTTCTCTATCCAAAAAAGTTTTAAAATGGTTGGCTATACATACTGTATGTGTTAAAGCTGAACTCCAGCTTTCTGTCACTTTTAAACTGTTTGGACTAAGCTGATGCTGATGCTGCACACAGTTTATACAGCGCTGACGCATCTGTTAGTGAAGGTCCAGCTTGGTCCAAAGAAACCATTTTTAAAGAGGCAGAAACCTGAAGTTCAGCTTTAAGGCCCATTTCAAATGTGGCAGACCTGTCAGTGTACTCTCTTGCTCAGCGGGGGATCTGACTGCTGATCCCCACTGAGCAGGCAGATGACAGGCCCATGTCTGCTACACTTATGCAGAGCGGACACAGCCCCCTGTCCTTTATGGGCGGTCGGAAGGAAACAGACCGCCTGTCCGTTTCCATCTAACTGCCATTTGATCCGATGAATGGAAGGGGAATGCCATCCATCTCTTTTTGGAGGATTGGATCGGAATGGATATCAGCGGGTGTAAACGGACACATTCCATAGAGGAGAATAGAGGCCCTGATTGGATCGTCCATGTGAAAGGGGCCTAAAGGAAAACACTGAAGAAGGATTTCATTCATCCAGGTCTTGGTATAGTTAGTAGCAGTAATTAATAATGTTCAACAGGTTTTGTTGGAGCTTATTTAGCACTAATAAGTATCAGGAATATATAGCAGCATTTATATAGCTATAAAGTTAACAAGAGTGAAAGTCTTCAACATTACAGAACAATTTAAGCTGAATGAAAGTAGGAATATAGGAATAGGATTAATTTATGTGGAGAAACATGGAGACTGCCTTTGCTAACTTCTCATTAGATAAATGCTAATTTTCCATCTGTAATGCTGGCTCTACAGCTTTAATATTTAACCCCTTCATGTCGGCGTCTCCCGACACTTTAAGGGTTCAGATGCCGGGAGGCGGGGCGGGGGTTAGGGTCATGTGACTGCTGTGACACGCCATCACGGCGGTCACATGATCGGGAAAGGTCCCGATCAAAAGAGGAGACCTTTCTTTGAGTACCGGACATGAGCAGGGAGCGTGCAGGGCGCGCACTCTCAGCACATATGTTCTTTTTTAATAGAACACAAATGTCCGCTTGGCATCTAGGCCCAGACGCCGGGAGGCCGCACATTTGCGTTCGGCCGGCGTGAAGAGGTTAAGGTTAATGATCCAAAAAATATGCAACTGGGCACTTCTGACTTTCCTCATATGCATGCTTTTTTGGATCAGTGACTTACATGCACCGGCCACTTTATTAGGTACACTTTGCTAGTACCAGGTTGGACCCCCTTTTTTCTTCAGAACTGCCTTCATTCTTCATGGCATAGATTCAACAAGGTGAAACATTCCTCAGATATTTTGGTCCATATTGACATGACTTACTGTTGCCTTTCTATCATCTTGAACCAATCTGTTCATTCTCCTCTGACCTCTGACATCAACGAGGCATTTTCACAACTACCACTCACTGGATAGTTTCTCTTTTTCAGACCATCCTCTATAAACCTTAGAAATGGTTGTGCGTGAAAATCCCAGTAGATCAGCAGTTTTTGAAATGCTCAGACCAGCCCATCTGGCACCAACAACCATGCCACGTTCAAAGTCACTTAAATCCCCTTTCTTTCCTA